AATATAACATGGCACGTGCTTTGTGTGCGTCTTCCCCTCACGCACCGATTTTCACACATCTTCACGAGGCAGTATAAGATGAGGAGGAATTATTTCCTTCTCTCTCGCTCTTATCTTCTTCTAATCTTCTTTCTTTCTTCTTCGGCGCGCTGAGCTCAGGTCGAGATACAGTGCCATCTGCCGCGACATGCGTGAACTAAACTCAGCCTGTTTTGCCACGCGTACCGTAATTTACGCTAGCACGCGTATCGTTTATTAAGCCATGTCGTTTTTTATTTAAACTATCCGTTAAAATCCTGTTATGATGGTCTTATAATGTTTGTGAAAGTCGTCTGCAATAAGAGGGCTAGTCATTTTCCATATATAAACTCTGAATTTTTCATATGAAACGTAAATATGATGCAGTGCCGCATTTTCAATAGTAAATTAAAAATTTTTTGTTGTTTTCGAAACAACTTTTGAGCTACCTTACTTCATTAATGATCATACTTTTACTGTGTAAAAGCGTTTTCAATTCCATGCATGCAATTAAAAGATAAACGACATGGCTTAAAACGGGCCTAACGCCGATATCCAGCATCGCCTTAAGGCTCTGCTATTTCTAAAGCGGCCATGGTTTGATGACGTCAAAAGTGAGAAATGACATACCGAAAATTAGTTTAGCGTTTTATTACTTTATTTTTTACTTTTTCCTAAAGAAATAAATATTTTCTTAATCCTGAAACTTGTAAGAAGTACAGCAAACTCAGATATCTGGCTGATATATTACGTAAAATAATTTCTGAAATAATGCTACATTTTTCGGCTGTCACGGTGGTTTGTGACAGCTGGGATCAGCATATATGAACACATTTAATTTCTCGATTTTCACAATATATTACCAGTATCACTGAGTTTGCTGCACATTTTACAGCTATGAGGATCACGATAATATACACACTTCACGGAGAAACTGCAAAATAACGCAATAAAATCCAATTAATTTTCTGAAGTGTCAAGCGATGCTTAGCGTGAGCCTGGCCTAGTGTTAGCCAATCAGCTACGCTGACATGGCTATTTTGTGTTCTTGACACTACTAGGCGCTACCGTTAATTCAGACTTTCTGCGGCGAGATAGCAGAGCTTTAAAACATTTAAAAAATATTTTTCCGACAATGCCGTAAGACAAGCGTTTTCTCTCCATTCAGCAAACACTCTTCCAATATGTAAACGTTTTTCAAATGCTACAGCATTGTAATTTCCGCTTTACTGACAATTTTTAAACTCTCAACAAACTCCCGCAAACGCTCACGTAAATGCTAAACAAACGTTTGTGAAACTTCTTATTTTCGTCAGGAATTACATGTTAATATATCAGTAATATTGCAGAAATATTGCTGCGAAAACATATCCGCGAAAATTAATCACAATAATATTACCGTAATATTAAAATATACTATATATATATAAATGTAAAATATTTTTAAAATATTTATAATAAATCTTATAAATATTTTATGTCCGAAAATCTCAGGTTCAAAAAAATAATAATAAACATTTGAAAATATTTTGAAAATATTTTTGTTAAAAAATTTTTTTTGCTAAAAAATGTTTATTATTTCTTCTATAAATATTTTTTAGTTGTCGGCACATGCTTGATTTTGCACTAATTTAACAATTTTATATGATTTCACACTGTATCATGTTTGAAAATTCACTTGGCACTGATGAGATTCGAACTTGAACCGAAGATATCTTTTGGATTTTGGTCACCCTTATAGAAATATCATACTAAGAATCATTGATAATTACTTATTATCCAGTATTTTTAATACTGAAAATAAGTAATTATCAATGATTCTTAGTATGATATTTCTATAAGGGCAGTCGCCTCAGATATACGCCAATTCCTTACTTGATAAAAAGTGCTTTGTATTGCCCACTTAAAATTTAAGGAAGAGAAATATTAGAGTTTGTTCGCGTTTTAAACCGCGAAATGTAAACAAAATCGTCCAACGTATAAATAACCCTTATAGAAATATCATACTAAGAATCATTGATAATTACTTATTTTCAGTATTAAAAATACTGGATAATAAGTAATTATCAATTACTTATTATCTTATTACTTATAAGTAATTATCAATTAATAATAAGTAATTATCAATGATTCTTAGTATATTTCTATAAGGGAATATAAGAGAGATAATTATCAGCACGATAATTCGAAATTAATTAAAAAAACAAAGATTTCTTTATTATGATTGATCAATAAATACTACTATACTGTACTGTACTGTACTGTAAAAAAATACTCAAATGAACAATAAGTTATTCAAACGCAGCCTAGCAGAAATGTCCACAATGTATCATACGGATAACCTAGAGACATCGTTATATCACTAAGTCATCATTATGATGTATTTTGAATATTCTGCTGTGTGAATCCTTTTCCTTATAAATATCATTTGTTATCATAAATATAAGTAATTTTAATGTAAATACAAAATAGCAGTGTTAGATATAACCCGAATAGTACTGATCTCCAAAAGACGTTCTAGTGATCTCTTAAAGACATTCACGTCTAGAAACCTTCATGATGTTCCCTGAAGATCTTCTGCTATCTAAGTTATCCTCAGATGATCCTATGATTTACCATTCAGTTTGGATCAAGATAAGATCATATAGTTCTAATTAAGATATCCTGTGAGTATCTACTATTATGTGGGTAACTTTAAAGTTGATGGCTTAAAAATTAATTTAATTAAAAGTTACATAAAAATTAATTTAATTAAAAGTTAAGATAAAATAAAATTTACTCATTAAAATTAAAAGTTAATTATGCAAAATAGTATATTTTTTGTATAATAACATTTGTATAATAACATTTTAATCGTAGATTAAATTTATGTGAAATAATAAAAAGATAGTCTCTTTTAAAAAAATGCTAGCTATTTCGTATTCAGAATTCCATACAAGAAAACAACATTGGCACTCAGAGAAATAAAAAAATTCTATTGGCATTATTTGTCATTAGGACCTTGAATAAGTCCTCGCTGATTTTTCATGAAAATTAATGCTTTATTTAAAAAAAGTCGTAAAAAACATGTCACTAAAAGTATTGTCCATTGCTAGCCACTACTTTTTCTCATCTTTCTGGCAGCATTTGAATTCCACGTCGGAAAAACGACATGTCTTTTGAGGCTATCCATGAGTCGACCCATTTTTTGGCATATTTATAAGAATGGAAGTGCTGCTCAGCCAGGCCATGTGCCATCGATCGGAACAAGAGATAATCGGAATGGGCAATGTCTGGTGAATACGGCGGGTGGGGTAGGACTTCCCATTTAAGCGTTTCTAAGAAGGTTTTCACCGGTTGTGTAACATGTGGCTGAGCGTTATCATGTTGCAAAATCACTTTGTCATGTCTTTGCTCTTATAGCGGCCGTTTTTCCTTCAATGCTTGGCTCAAACGCATCAATTGTAGTCGATAGTGATCTCCCGTGATGGTTTCGTTCGGTTTAAGCAGTTCATAATAAGATACATCCAACTGATCCACCAAATGCAGAACAGAAGCTTCGAACCATGGATATTCGGCTTTGCCGACGATATTGATACATGGCCGGGCTTACCCCACGATCTTCTACGCTTAGGGTTATCGTAGTGTATCCACTTTTCATCGCCAATCACGATACAATGCAAAAAACTTTTCCTTTTCTGCTGTTGAAGCAGCTGTTCACATGTGAAAAGACGCCGTTCGACGTCTTTCGACGTCTCTCGGCTTCAACTTATACGGCACCCAATGTCCTTGCTTTTTAATCATTCCTAATACTTTCAAATATTTCGAAACTGTTGTGTGATCAACTCCTAATGATTCTGCAAGTTCAGCTAGCGTCTGACATGAGTCTTTATAAAGTAATGCCTCCAATTCTTCGTTTTCAAACTTTTTCGGTGCACCAGAGCGTTCTCTATCTTCAACATCAGAATCATTATTTTTGAAGCGTCTAAACCAATCTCTGTATGTTGTTTCCGACAGAGCATGGTCGCCGTAAGTCTCAACAAGAATTCTGTGTGCTTCAGCTGCAGATTTTTTTGAATAAATTAGTGCAGTAAAATTCCCCTCAAATACTCTTTTTTTGGCACGAAACTCGACATGTTTAACACTATGAAAAAAAAAGTTGTTTACACTTCGGCAAAATGACGTACTGAATTTCAAGCTTGCTTATAGTACTTCCTTATAGATACGTTACCATCTTAAACTACACGCACGCAGTTCTGGTAATGCCATTTGTTGGAAAACAGCGAGAACTTATTCAAGGTCCTAATATTTTTCTTGTTCTATTGCAAACAAACCGGAATAATTTTAATATTAATTAATTATTTTAACTTGTATAAAAAAGTTAATAAGTTAAAGTTAATGCATTTTAAAATAACCAATTTAAATTAAAAGTTTAATTATGTTAAAGGTTATTAACTTTTTAATTCAATTTTAAACTGATTAACTACCTAGACAGCACAAATGTCCAAAATCGAGTCATAAGACGTTTTTAGGATATTTTTAAGATATCTTTAAGACAATATCTTATAAACTTGTCGTAAAGATGTCTTAAAGATCTTTTAAAGACATCTTATGACCCGATTTTGGACATTGTGCTGTCTGGGTAGTTATGAAGTGATAGCGCTATCAATTTGAATTGTTTTTTTTTAAGCTGTATCGTTCTCGCATGTAAGTGCAGATATAAATCCTATCGTATTTTATCGTATTTTATCTGGTTATAAACAATTTCGTATTCTATAGGAAACTAACGATAGAAATTCTATCATTACCTATCGTATACGATAGAATACTATTCACATTTGTGAATAAATGAAATGATAGAATTTTATTCTATCGTTTTCGATCAACTTTTTTTTACCGGGGTACTCAACCCTGATTTATGATTATCAAAGTTAAATTATATAATAATTAAGATACACAGAAAATATAAGATCTTGTCACTTAACTCACATATTTGATTTTAGAAAACATTTCCAGTGTTACCGTCAACGGAATCGGCTCAGCTTCGAATCTTCAATACGTTAAATTGTCATGTGGATCTAAAATTCGAGGATAGAAAATCAGTTACCGTATATCCGTTAAGCATGTGGGCGGATTTAAATGTGAAGGTAAACGGATCGATTACACTACCCTACATAGCAGATTTCACAAAGTGCTACACAAACGGCTACTCCCATTTGCAGCAGGACGCGGAAGGTAACTTCATGGATACTAAATAGAAAAAGGATTTCACTTCTGTGCGAATAGTGCGAAAAATAATTTCCTTTACCAGGCAGTATTACGGTTGAGGAGGCCACTGCATCCTCTTGGGTCATAACGCCTGACGGACTTAATTACCACTACAATGACACAGTGGAGAAGTCGCGCAACGGCAAACCAGTAGTTCGTGCTCTCATTTATGTTGCCCCCTCATCGACTACCAACTCCGTGTTGAAATTCGTTCGGAAAGGCGAGACGGTGAATTCGATATCGTTCAACACGAGTACCTTTTCGCACTCGAATCTCCAGGAACTATATCCGAACGAATACAATATCTTCTTGGACAACATTCAACTGCAAGAAAGCGTCGAATTCAAACTTGGCGGTGTGTATACCGTGGTGGGCTCCAACATAGGTGAAAACAAGATCTTCGGCCGAACGATTATGGTCACGCCGCCCAATTCAATGCACATGATGTGGCTGCTACCGCAGTACATCATCATTACGATGGCCGAAGTGATGTTTTCGGTGACGGGCCTACAGTTTGCTTTCACCCAAGCACCGAAAAGCATGAAATCCCTACTGCAGGCAGGCTGGCTGCTGACCGTAGCCTTTGGCAATCTTATTGTGGTAATCATATCGGAGGTGTCAATCTTTGATCGACAGGTAAACAGCGAAGACTAACTTTGAAAATGTTCGAGTAGAGGAAAACGTCCAGTAGGCACTTATAGGACTGCGTTCTAAAACTCTACTCCGAGTAGCGGAGTAGTTAACAATGTCGTTCAGCGGAATATAGTGTAACGTACTCTATAGGAGGAGCCTAATCGTTCAGGAAGTCGGAAGTAACTGTACTTGGAATTCATCATCGGAGGATGATCTTGTAAAAAATCCAAAGCACCCATTTATCGACTCTTGCCCGATGTCAACTTATGGGCCGACTCTGGTGGTATCATGGCAAGTCGACTATCATTTTTTCGATCGCGGCGCAACGCCGGTCCAAGCTAGGCTTGCCGACTCTTGTCCGATGTCGAGTCACGGCTCGACGTCGACGTCCACAGCAGCCAACATTCACTATCCGATGGCAGCGCGACGCCGGTCCAAGCCAGGCTTACCGACTCTTGTCCGTGATATTGTTTTTTCATATAGAACAAAATATCTAATAGACGTATATAATAGATTTATAAATCTATGGAACATCTATGTTTATTGAAGATGTAATCCATATACAAGGTGTCCCAGATCACGTTCACAATCTCTCGTGAGAACGTAGAGCGGATTGAGGTGAATGCAAAAGTTCTATATCATTTTGCAATATTTGCAATAATAGTCAAGATATTAATTAAAAAAAGATTGATAAATGATCACGATATGGTAGATGAGCTGCAATGGTGTCGTCTATCGTTGTATACTTTTACATTAAGTCCAACTGAACAAAAAAATTCTCTACCATTTTGCAAATAACAACATAGATTTTCAGATATTAATCAAAGAAAATTGTCACCAGATTATGTACCATAATGCACAAATTTTCTTTAATTAATATCTGAAAAACTATGTGATCATTTACAAAATGGTAGAGGACTTTTTTGTTCAGATTGACTTAATGTAAAAGTATACAACGGCAGACGACGCCATTGCAACTCATCTACCATATCGTGCGTGATTATTCATCAATCTTTTTTAATTAATATCTTGAGATTTATTGCGAATATCGCAAAATAATATTAGGCTTTTGTGTTCATCTCAATCCGCTCTATATCCTCACAAGAGATTGTGAAGGTGATTTGGGACACCCTATATATATACAAGGTGAGGAAAAGTATGAAAACCTTGAAAGATCTCAAAAAATATAAGTTTTACAGAAAAATGATTCAAATAAAAGTTGTAGAATTTAAAAAGATCTATTAAATAGTTTGACCCTGGCTGGCGTCAGTAAGGTGAAGTCAAAGTCACTTTAAATTTTTTAAATGGAACACCCTATTTTTTATTGCATATTCTTATAGTTCTTCTAAATACCCTTTCAAAGCACTATAATTTTATTCATTTTGGGTCAGCCGTTTCAAAGTTATTGAATATTTTACAGTAAAAAGTAATAGACCCGAAGATAAGGTCGGAATATGATCCAGCCAACAAAGGCAAGATCGGAGGATAATCTAAGCTCTCAGCTGTTTTCACGGCTACTCACTCTGTTGTTTTCACAGGTACTCACTTTCAGTTGTTTTCACGGTTACTCATTCTCAGATGTTTTCACGGCTACTCACTTTCAGTTGTTTTCACGGCTACTTATTATTAGTTGCTTTTAAAATGTTGCACCTTACTGAACGTGAACGAATATCTCTTTTGATGATGAGGATGGGGAGACAGACTAAGGTCATACAATGATGTTAAGCAGCTCTTCAATGCAACATTTCGGAATGAAAATACAAGTATCTCGAAATCGGATGTCTATTACTTCTTACTGTAAAATACTCAATAACTTTGAAACGGCTGACCCAAAATGAATAAAATTATAGTGCTTTGAAAAAGTATTGAGAAGGACTATAAGAATATGCAATAAAAAATAGGGTGTTCCACTTAAAAAATTCAAGGTGACTTTGACTTTACCTTAACGACGCCAGACAGGATCAAACTGATGAGACTATTGAATAAAACTTTTGAAATCCTACAACTTTTAATTGAAACATTTTCAGCAAAACTTATATTTTTTTTAGATTCTTCAGGGTTTCCACACCTTATCATACTTTTTCCTCATACTTTTTCCACACCTTGTATATATATACAGGGTCTCATTTTAAATTACGCACCTGAATATCTCGTCAGGGGAGCCACCAATCCGAAAATAACCCTTACAAAAGTTGTTGGGTTCGGAGGGGGACATCGGATGGTGATTCTCAATTTCACCCTGACCTTGACCTTTAAGATCATTTGAAGGTCAAATCGAATTTTAAAATAGAAACCCCTATTTTTTACCCCGGATTTGGAAAAAGCGCAAAATTTTACGTTTAGATGGGAACTTGAGGCTCTTCTTTGGAATAACCTTCAGAGGTTATTTCAAGGACAAAATATTTGAAATTACGCACCTGAACACATATCTTGTCGAGGAGCAACCAACCCAACCCTTACAAAAGTTGTTGAGTTCGGATGGTGATCTTCAATTTCACCTTGACCTTGACCTTCAAGTTTATTTGAAGGTCACATCGAATTTTTTAAATAGAAATTTTAAAATATGTTAAAAGTCGAAATGACCTTTAAAGATCATTTCAAGGTCGAACTTTCAGTTCCAAATTTCACTCCCTACCTACTTTTAACGGCTGTTCTACCAGTTGTGGGACACCCGTGTGTGTGTGTGTGTGTGCGTGTGCGTGGTCGTGTGCGTGCGTGCGTGCGTGCGTGCGTGTGTGTGTGTGTGTGTGTGTGTGTGTGTGTGTGTGTGTATGTGTATGTGTGTGTGTGTGGAGGATGAGCGTTAATGTTCGGGATCGTCGGGAGGAGGAGGGGGTGGAGAATAACTTATAGGGAAAGATGGAGGAAGAGATGGAGATGGTGGACGAGGATGCGAATCTAGAGGGAATGGCTGTAAGTAGAGAGGGGGGGGGGTAGATTTTCTTGTATAAATATTGTGATAACGCTCTGCGGGTTATCCGTTCGAATACTCTGCGCGAAAGGGAGTCCGAGGCGGAAGATAGCATCTCCAGCGTTTCAAGAGCGTCGCGCAGATCACTCCGTTGCTGGCAAGACTGGCGTCCCACTACAACGAGGAAGGGACAACCCGATTTTTGGAAGTTCTGCCGCTAATTAATATTCCCCGGAATTATTGCGATTGGGTTTCCGACAAAGAAAAGATATGTCTGTCCGGACTTATTCAAAATTGAGACACTGAAAACCTCATAATAAAACAATAACTTACTGTTAGTGTGTGCGAGAAGAGAAATGGATGGTCCTGAATCTCCTGAGTTAGTTGCTTTCTTCGGTTTTGATTCTTGAGTGGTTCTCGTAGACGTCGTTATAACAAACGATTGAATATAGAAGTAATACTTGTAGACGTCGTAATGACAATAAAAATTGTAGAAGTGATGCTGGTAGACGTCGTAATGATAATAAGTGAATGAACACAGAACTTGTGGACGGCGTAATGACAGTAAGTGAAAAAAAAGCGACAGAAGTCATACGGATAAGACTTTTATAATTTCGGAAAATGGGAAATTTCGGGGATGGCGGTTACCGGATTCGTTGGAGATGTCTTGCTTGGTAACGAAGATGAAGCTCGGATTGGTGGGAAAAAATAGAAATTTGGGAAATGTTTGATCAGGCCATATATGGGCATGCGTAATTGTAGGTGGTGTGATTCACGGTTCTTTTGTAAGGCTCGAGATGTACGTGTTCTTGTCGTGTGTTTGACTTTTGTAACCCGGTCGGATAAGTAATTGGTCTTCACGCAATGTAAGGTACGTGAGGCCCTACGGGACGTAACATAATAAAAAATAAACATATAAGTGGAAAAAATAAATTTATTTTAATTACACATATATATTTTAATCTTCAAAAAACAATGAACAGATGAACCAGATTTATTTTCGCTTGACTTTTTTTATGGGAGCATATGAAAACTCACATTTATGGGACACCTATTGAAACAGAAGCAGAACTGGTAGTCCGAATTACTGCTGCAGCATACCAAGTTCAGAATATTCCTGCAGTCTTCGAGCGTGTGAGACAGTCAATGTTTCGACGATGTCATCTTTGTGTTGAAGTAAAGGAGGAATTTTTGAATATTTATTATAAATTGAGCTAATTAATTGCGCATTTTTGTTCCGTTCTTTTGTTCATTGTTTTTTGAAGATTAAAATATATATGTGTAATTGAAATAAATTAAATTTCTCTTATATGTTTGTTTTTTATTAAAATCATAAAATTCCTATTTTGTACACTGTAGTATTAAAACGAAACATAGAGAAAAACATTAGTAATAAAATATGTTTGTTTTTATGTCCTCTATTTCCCCTCAAAGTTTGTCGGTCTAATTTTTTTACACCCTGTATATATATATAAGGTGTAGTAGAAAGAAATCCATGAGATTTTTGCTTGAAATTGAAGGCTTTATTTAGCATAGTTAGAATGATCCGATTTAGGTCAAATATGCACCGTTTTGTTCGATAACTTGTTGCCATTTTGAAGGTAATTTTATTATGCCTCTCTCATAGAAACCCTTGTCCCTATTGGCAAAAAACTGGGACAGTCGATTTTCACAAGCTTCTCTTGAGGCAAATTTTTCACCAGCAAAATCATTCGCCATAGACAAGAACAGGTGGTAATCACTTGGTGCCAGGTCCGGACTATAAGGTGGATGCATAAGAATCTCCCAACTAAGCTCCCGGAGCTTCTGGCGAGTCACTATCGATGTGTGTGGCCTGGCGTTGTCCTGATGAAACACAATTCCTCTCCTATTGGCCAAAGCTGGCCGCTTCTGGGTGATTGATTCCTTCAGACGGTCCAATTGTTGACAGTACAGAATTAAGAGTTTGGCTGTAGGGGAGCAGCTCATAGTGGATGATTCGCTGCCAATCCCACCAAACACACAGCAAAGCCTTCCTGACCGTCAATCCTGGCTTGGCCACCGTTTGCGCCGGCTCACCGCGTTTCGACCACGACCGTTTTCGCTTGACGTT